TGTGAACAGCCAGATCAGGAGGATTTCAGGGGTGGTCCGCCTGAAATTCTCTAGAAATGTTTAGGAGTGCAGATGTGAAAACCGCTTCAGATTCAAGTTTTGGAGATAATTTAGGCGAGCAAATGAAAGCTGAATAAATCTGTCTGCAAGAAGTTTTCAGGAACAAGCAGCTGCTAAACGAGTCTTTGTTCAAACTAATTTCCTCAAACTAAGTGGCTAAAAGGTTGACTTCACAGAGTGTCTGTACAATAAAACAAACTTAAACACCAGGTGTTGAAAAAACAAACAATATATTTAGTGTCAGAAAGTAAAAGAACATTTTGTGGAGTTATTTCTGGATTTCATAAGACATCTTGTTTTAATAACAAAATAATTATTGTACATCATCATATCTGGGCTAACATGTCACATCTCTTATGTACAAAACTCTTCATCCTGTCCCCGAGAGGAAGATGACAAAAGCCCTCCATAAATGTTAAAAATGTTAAAATTAGTTTCTTTTTTGTTTTTTTTACAAATATAAAACTAGCACGGTTGCCCAACAACCTGCTGTCACAGGTTTATACAACCAGCACGTCTTCTTTACATGATGTGCTTTACAAAAAAAAAAGGCAAAAGTCCAAAGCATTTATACAACACGTTACACATTAGATCAGGAACACAATCCATTCCTCTGAGAGCAGATAACAAGTGGTTCATGTGTTTGTCTCCATCACACTTTGACGTGATGTCACTCCAAGTACAAAAAAAACCATAATCACATCCAAGACCCTTCAGACTGTCGATGCTTTAGGAACAACTCTGTTTGTTTTACTAGTGTTGTAAGACCAGACTAACCAAGACCACAAGACATACCGTCGACCAGACCGGGTTGAAACCAAGACCAAGGTAGGCCGAGACTGAATCAAGACCTAAGACATTTAGGGATCGAGATTGAGTCAAGACCAAGAGATCAAGGCAGGGCTCATAAATGATAAAAAAAAAAAACTCTCAGTGGTGGTCTTGGTCTAAAATCCAGAGTCCGCCCAGTCTGAGACCGAGACAAGACCGAGTAAAAAAGATCTAGATTCTGAGACGAGACGGAGACCATCAAAAAGTGGTCTCGAGACGGCCTTGGTACTACAACCACTAGTTTTTACATTCTTATGTTTCCAGGAATGTTTATGAACCCAAAGGTTGGATGATTTCCTCTCGACATGAACATTTTGTGAGTTATTGCCCTGTAAATTGAAGATTCAAATCAGCTGCCAGAAGACCTTTTTTTTATTATTTTCCTCTTCTCCATGTGCATGCTTCATTATTGTTCTTATTTTAAAATGTTGAGTTAATGATGTTATAAAAAAAAAAAAAAAAAAAAAAAGTGTAGCGACACACGATGAAATGTTGTACGGAGGTCTGACCTTTAAATTACCCGACAGGAACGCACTTCCTTTTTTTACCCAATATTAAGTTTGGTATTGTAATGTAGTCACACCGAGCGTCAATATTAGCGTTTTAATTTTGTATCTAATGTCGGGTTTTTACGACATACTAATATAGAAAAGTGATTTGTGAAACTAAAACAGTTCGTTACCTCCTGACAGACATTAAGGCTTCATTATGGTGCGATCTATTTCGTCTCTGAAGTCTGAAATTCTGAGTTGTCGGTCTGACACGTAATCAAGAACGCCCCCCCCGAAGTCTGTGTTCGAACTCTGAGAACCTTCAGTAGCACGAGTTAAAATCCAACATGGCCGCTACGTGCGTCAACAGTAACGTTTAAGCAACTGTTGAGTTTATTAGCAGCTTAGTCCTCTTGGGGAAATTAAATCGACACACCGAGAGTACATTATTACGTGGTGTGTTGTCGTTATCGTCAGGTAATTAGCTAAAAAAAAAAAAAAAAAAAAAAGAAAGTTTCTCCTCGAGGCGTCCATGTTGCTTGTCAGGCTTGTTGCCAACTAACAACTGGAGCGTGGTTAACTCGGGTGTGACGTCATTTCGAGATCCGAGGTTAAATGTGACGCACCCTAACCCTTAAAATAAGACAAACTCTTTGGACCGAGACATCACACGATAACCTTCAAGATGCCACGCCCTACGTTCATTTGTTTACATTCAGAGAAAGAATAATACACACAGAAGTTGTTAAAAATATAAATTCCTATTGACTGTATGTCTCGACATTATAGAAGTAAAAACCGGCCTGACTGTCACTTTAACTTAACACTGAACGGGGAGGAGGTCGGCGGAGTTTCAGGGCCACATTACAGACACAACCATGAAGAATTAAGTATGTGGGAATAAAGTCATAATGAGGAAGTATGCTCCACGTTCCTCACTTTAGAGCAGGCGGCGGGCTCCCCTTTTATTACTCTTTAAAACGACATAAAACACTAAACAGCCTCAAAGTACAACCTTTTTCCTGCAATGCTTTTTTCTTTGTTTTAATCAATCTTTCCCCTCCTGATATAAAAATCCTCCTCTTAAGAACTGATACACAGCACATAATAAATTACAATCTGTCATATACGTTTTAAAATTAGGTTAACTGGTGACTCTAAATTGCCCGTCGGTGTGAATGTGAGTGTAGCTGCTTGTCTGTCTCTATATGTCAGCCCTGTGATTGACAGGCAAACAGTCCAGGGTGTAACCACGCCTCTCAGCCAATCACAGCTGGGACAGGCTCCAGCACTCGGTTACCTGTAACGGGCTGTCTGGAGTATAGATACTGGATGGATTCATTTTTGGACTCTACTCAAGAGAGAGAGTGGGGAATGACATGCGGGAAAGGAGCCACAGGTCGGATGTGAACACCGGGCCGCCCGCTTGGAGGTCAACGACCTCTGTACAGGGGTTGTGCAAACTAACCACTAGGCCACAGACGCCCCGGTATATTTGATTTTTGCTGTATTCATATTAACAAAGTCGCATATTAACCCTTTAAACACAGAATTGTGAATGACAAGTCACACCACAGAGAGATAAAAAATATAATGACGTTTACATGACAAGATTGATATACTTTAGAAGACTTTTATGATCATGTGACCTGGAAGCGATGAGATGTGATTGGCTCCTCTACAGACCTGCAGCAAAGAGATGAAGATATGCACGATGTGACAGCTCCCCAAAAGTGAAGCCAAAACACTTAGAGCTCCTCCTGCTTACTGGCTGCAGTGTGGGCCCATAAGCTCCGCCTCCTCCATGTTAGCAGATGGAGATGGGTCAAACTACAGTTCAAATAAATATTTCTTAAACATGGTATCTGTCTTTATAGTTAGTTCTTAACAAGCTGATTTATGTTCTAGTGTTCCTGGTTTTAAAAATGTTAGAATTAGATGCCATAAAAAATGGGTTTTAATGTCATGATTGACAGCTCTGTTGACAAATGAGGCTCCTGCAGCGCAAAGTAGTGTGCAAAGTAGAGGAGAAACAGTGAGAGGAAGCAAAAACTGGCTCAGGGTGTTTTTGGCTTCACTTTTGTACAACAGGAAGAGGCTGAGACATCCATCTTTATATACAGTCATTGACTGTGACAGGGCGGCTGGTGATTAATGCTTAATGTGTGTGGATTAACATTTGAGTCAGATTTTATTATAAAGCACTTCTTGGCTCTGCTCGGTTCAGTTTGTTTGCATAAAAGAAGTGTGTGTGTGTGTGTGTGTGTGTGTGTGTATGAAGGGCACTCTGGTCCAGTGAGCGATGAAGTGCACTTCTTTAAAAACATTTCTCAATTTTAAAAAAAGAATGAAAACTCCAAAGTCAGATCCGCCGAACTGCAGCGTGTCATCTTCAAGTTAAAAAAATAATAAAACTAAAAACGTCAAGGAGGTGAAAGCACCAAGTGTCAGAGGTCTGCTGAGTTAACTTTCCTGCTGTTAGCTCCAGGATTGTGGCGGATCCTCTGTTAGTGAGCCGCACGCTTCAAGAGAAGAAGAGAGGTGAGTCTGGAATTTCCTTAATGACGTCGCTGTGCTGAAGAACCTCCTCACAGCTTATAAACGCTGGTTCAGCTCCTCGAAAACGTTCACAGGAGTTTATGTTGTGCAGCTCCGGCCGGCTCCAGTTTACCGTGTCAAAACCAAGTGATGGCTGAGACTCCAGGGCCGCCACTGTAGCCGTGTGTGGGGGGGAATACAGTAAGTATGACTAGATGTATATTTAAAAGGAATCAAAAATGTGCTGACCAGAAGAGGTCCTTAAAATAAACAAGAGGTTCCTCCATCTGAGAGACAATCCACAGACCCCCCCCCCCCCCCAAACTTTAAAACAAGCTTGATGTGGGGTTAGAGAGTCAGGCCAGAGGGGGAGACGTTCAGGGGGTGGAGGGCTTGTGGAGGATCCCTTGCAGGTCCTCCGGTAACGACAGGATGACGGCCTCTATGTGAGCCCTCAGTTTGGCCACCGTCCCTGGACGCACAGGGAGCTGCTCCTTCTCCGCCTGAATCTGCGGAAAGAGAAGATACAAACTGATAAAGTAATACTTGAGTGCGAGCAGTACGAACGGTAGATTTCTCTGTAATCTTTGGAGTAACGATGCAGAGTTTTTGAACTTTGAGTTCACACTGACCAGTTTATCTTTCAGCTTCAGGACCAGATCAACCGTCTCCACCTCGGAGTGCTGCTGGATCCTCTGCTGCAGATCCTTCAGACACAGAGAGACAGACAGGTAGAGACAGACAGATTCAGAGAGACAGACAGATTCAGAGAGACAGATTCAGAGAGACAGAATAGAATACGTCATGTCTGTAGAGCTGATGGAGTCAGGTGTGTCTCTGCAGTTGATCAGAAACTTCATAAGTATCAGTTGGTATTTCAGCTCAAACCAGTGACCTCTGATAGAACCCGATCTCCTCCACCCTCTCCTCACCTCCTCGCACAGCGCCTCCAGGTGCAGAGCCTCCAGTTTCTGCGTCATCTCTCGCCTCCGGTTGCGGAACCAGCCGTCAAAGTTCGGAGACTTGAGGAAATTCCTTCAGACGCAGAAAAGAGTCCTCGTGAACACAAAGTCATAATTTACCCAGTGACTTCTACACAACTCTCATTAGAATCAAGACTTCCTGCTGATGATGACAGCTGAGTGAAAAAGAGAGGGAGCAATGTCTGAACTGAACAAATATGTCCGTTGTGATTCTGTGAAACTACAAATACCACTGATATAAAGGAAAAAATTCTCATTATAGAGTCGTATAGCGGACTCCGCTGCTCCGTCCAGCACTTGCATGTTGTCCTTTTTACATCATGTCCTCATTCATCGTGTGTGTGTGTGTGTGTGTGTGTGTGTGTGTGTGTACCTGTAGAGTCCTATCCAGTCTCCCTTCAGTCTGGACGTGAGCTGAGGTCCGGCTTTCTCCAGCGTCTTCATGAAGTCCTGCTGGATGAACGGACGCAGCTGAGGAGGAGCCTTCCAGGGGCTGATGGACTTCTGGAGAGGCATCAGACTGGCCACATATCTCTCCTGTGACACACACACACACACACACACACACACACACTTTAAACCAGCAGCCCCACTCACTGAAAACATGCAGACGTTGTTTCACTGCCTATTTCCACACAGTCTGTACGCTACAGTTTGGCTCCGTCGGACACCCTGACCAGCCGGGTCTGTTTCTGGAGCGTGAGCTGTACACACATCACAGGATAACTACGAGATCTCAAGAAGAAACGTGCCAACAACTTAATGTTGATAAAGTGATGAACAACACAATCATGAGTCTGTATATTGTGTTTTATTTTGAAATTGACCCGGATGCTCCGTCCATTTCCTCGTCTAACTTCCTGTCTGGGTTGTTCTATTCTGTGCAGCTTGACACATGCTTGGCGCTGCTGGCACGCCCTGGAGATCGGTCACCGTGGTAACAAGAGCATTGACTAGAGTGGCAGCCAATGGTGGCGTAGTGAGTATTAAAATATAAACATTAACTAAAGTTGTTGTTTGTTTTTTTTTTACCAGTGGAATGATGAAGCTCTGAGTCAGTTCTAAGAAGTAGCGTCGGAGTATTGCATTCTGGGCCGGCGAGGGCCTCTTCTGTTGAACTCCCTGAAGCACAAAAACAAAAAGCAGAATATAAAAAGTCAACAGAACGATCAAACATGAATCCATGATGAATAATCCCATTGAATCTCTTTAAAACGGGCAGTTTGTAAATAAAATACACAAAAAACAACAATAACAATGTGATGATAACAATCAACAACACAAAACAGCTGTAAAATAAAAAAAGACGGATACTGACACCCAGCAGGCTGCGGTTCTCAACATTTTCAATACTCTCAAAATCTTTCAATATGGTGTGTTATGACACAATTAAATCTCCTTTATTTCAATCATTTATAGGATGAAAATGCACCATCGCTTTAAAAAAATAAAAAATAAAATAAAGATCTCGTCCAAACAGAAAAATGTTTGTGTGCATATGTTCTCCTGCAGCTCTTGATAAAAAAACAATAAATTTATGAAATACTGGGATACTGAGACTTCTGTATTTGTAGCTTTGGTATCCAAACACGTGTCAATATAATTTTTACTGGAATCATATCAAATGGAAGTTAAAAATTCTGTGACAGCAGGCGGATAAATAAATAAACCAAACTGTGTTAAAGGTCCAAACAGTAAGATGTGTAGTGTTGTTTTACAAACTCAGTCAGGAGCCGGTCTCACCTTCTGAAGCTGCTTGATGATTTCTTCATCTTTGTTCAGATACGGCTTGTACGCAGTGTACACACCTGTAACACACACACACACACACACACAAAACACACACACACACACACACACACAAAGGAAGAGACACTCAGCAGGTCTGACTTGATGTGAATGAGATTTTGTGAGTGAGCTAAAGGACACAAAATGATTTTTTTTTTGTTTTGCTGCCAGAGCAATACGCTCCTGTAGTATTCTTTCCTATGATGTTTATATATAATTTTACATTTAGTTTTTTTTCAAGACTTTAGAAAGTTGGAGAAAAGATGGTCATTGGTGTCTCTGCCAGCCTCGTCAGCGTTGCTTTGTGTCCCAGGCACTTAAACTGGATTGGTTCAAAATGCAGAATGAAAAATAATCTCCCACCAATGTTTTTGTAAAGATGCATCATCACTGAAAAAAACAACAATTAAAGGGAATCATAAATAACCAATGTAGAGGGTGAGGCATTTACCGGGTTTAGAGTCGAGAGTTTTGAGGTTCTTCAGTTTCTTGACTTTCATCTGCTTGGCCATTTCTCCTGAAGAAGAGACACATCCGAGGTGAGTCACATTTTCATCATCCGACATGTTTCAGAACATTTGACCTACAGCTACTGTTGTAGTCAAAACCTCACTAACCGGGACCAAGACATACCCGAGACCAGAGTGCTCTGACACCGAGACAACACTGTACTTATCAATGATAAATCATCATCCTGTGTGCAGGGGGCGTCTCACTCACTTAGACTGTAACACTGGGAAGGTTACAGCCGGGGAATAAAAATCAATTTATGAATGAATTGAAGTTATTTGTTCTTTTAGAAAAGAGGCGTTTTCCTTCTAGTCACAGTAATGACTCGGGGAGGGGGGACAAAAAGCCGATCAGTGAGGGTCTTGATTTAAAATCCACTCTGAGACCGTGTCAAAATGTTTTTGATTCTTAGAAGAGACCGAGAGCTTCAAAAAGTGGTCTGGAGACTACAAGATTACTTACAGCTGTGGAGGATCAGAGCACAGAGGTTGTAAGCTTTTATAAAATTAACTGACCTTTTTATGAAGACATAGCTGCAGATTAAATTAAAGGTTATGACGTCGACAAACATCACATTTGACCAGAGAGGAGAATTTCAGAACTTCAGGACCAGCAGCGGTTTGACTTTCACCTGCTTGCTTCATGTCTCCGATGCGGATGATGTGCGGCCAGTGCTGCAGAGTTTTAGCGAAGAAGGGATTGGTCACTCCCAAAATGACTGACGGCCTGAAGACAGAGATGAAACACAGATGAGTAAAACCATCATCACTTAATAATAAAACTCTAAGCAGATATAGAGAGATGAAGAACCAATGAGCAAGGAGCTTCACTTCAAACTCCTGAAACCTCTCAGGAGAAGGAGAGTAATAACGACTGCAGAGAGCGGGCGGATCTTTATATCAGGAAGTAGAGTGCATTTTTTATATTCATTTTAACTGTTTTGTTACTTTGTTGTTCAGTTTTATCTCTGCTTTGTAAGGTGACCTTGAGTGTTTTGAAAGGCACCTATAAATAAAATGAATTATTATTATAATTTAAAAAAGGAGTTATATCTAAAATGCACTTTACTATTCGTTTATCCCACAATGATTGTCACAAAACTGGACGATGGAATCACACGTCCTGTGTTTGTCTCACATGGTGCAGAACTAGTTGAATCATGGGACAAAACAAAGACACGCTGAGTCTGTACTCACGGGGCCTGCGTCCTCGTTGTGTACTCCTTAAACTCGCTGTCGTGGATGGTGAAGTACGGCCGAAAGTCGCTGCAGTAACGCAGCGGAGAGATACAGCTGCAGAGAGAGAGACGAGTCAAAGACTGAGACTTAGTCATGTGTGAAGCCTCAGTGACTTCTGTGTGCGGCTTCATGAGCAGAAAGAAATGAGCTGCAGCTTCTTTTCACACGACTACAGCTGCCAAAAAATTCAGCTTCAAAAATGTCGAAAATTTTCATTGAAAAATTTTCAGCTTCAAAGAAAATGAAAACAGAAAATGTGCGTCGAGGCTTTTTGTCCCTCTGCTGAAATGCCTTCTAAAAACTCACCTGACCAACGCCAACACGGTATCCGAAGACTCCGCTGGCGACGGCGCCATGACGACGAGCGCCTCCCCGAGCAGCACCAACTCCCACAGCATCTGGATGTGGAAGAAGACTGGGTAGAAACATCTGGGGGGGAAAAAAAGAGAGAGAGAGTGGTTAGCGAGGTGTTTTTACATCCTTTTTGTGTTTTTTATAGCTTATTAATTAATGAAGTTAATTTATGTGAGACAGACGTAATTCTTTTCAGGTTAATTTACAAAAGAACCAAAAACTCAGAGGACATCTTCCATTATTTTTCCCTTAAAAACATCTGGATTGTAGGGCTTTTAGTAAAGGTGGGAGAGAAAATGCTGCAGTACTCAAAGTGGCCAGCAGGTGGGAGCAGAGTGTGACAAAAGCCTGTAGATTGTGGAGAGCAAAAAAAAACAAAAAAAAAACAACCTGTAACCTGGACGTCTCACCTGAAGAGGTCGACTTCATGGATGGTCGGGAGCACGATGGACACCTGACTGTCAGTCTGAGAAACAGAAACACAACGTTTGAAAACAAAGTCGTATACACACGTTTATTTTCATACAGGTGTGGGATTATGTTTGTCATCACCTGTGTGGACTGCACCAGCTGGGAGGTTCCTGGTTTGTCGTAACTGGTCGGGATGCGAACCTGCAGAACCACACAGATCACACAACAGTCACACATCGATTACCTCAGAATATTCACTCTGCGCTCGCAAATGGTCATGACAGTGAGAAGGTCACAGCTGGCTGTGTGCGGATGATTGTTTGAATGCATGGACAGAACAGGAGTCATGAGTTGCTCAGTCAAAGCTTCATATTTGAAGTGACGGCGACACTAAACTATACTTGAGAGTGTCTGATCGGGGAGTGAAGGAGGACCTTGGTGTTGGTCTGAACACACTTCCCAGATTAGGGATTATGATGCACCATTAAGAGGAAAATTACAAATAACATCTTTTTCCTTTTTGGAACACTTTTTCATTGTTTTGTTTGTCACTCTCTTACATGCATCAAAGCAGGACTTGACATTAAAAGTCTCATATCATTCTCCAACAATGATCAGCACCGTGTACAAGATCAGCAAAGATAAAAGGTACTAGGGCTGGTTAAAAAAATCGATTCGTCAATGCATTGCAATTATTATTTTCCCAGTTCAACATTGATTCAGGGAAATCTTGAGATCGATTTTTTTTCCGTTGTAATGACACCCCTCTCCACTGGGGGCGCTGTGGGTGCTGTGAATTCAAGTCAGGCACAAATTTGCATACTGTGCTTTCATGTTTTATTCTTTGTTTATTAAAGAATAATGCAACGATAAAATTTATTTTTGAGTCAGAGTGTTTTAAACAAATATAAACACATAATTATTTAACAAATATAAGAAGGTACTGTGATGAGTTATCTCGGTATTTCTTTCACCTATGTTTAATATTGAATCGATATCGAAGCATATTGATCAATATTGAATCAAATTGTAAGGTTGTGGACAATACCCAGCCCTAAAACCTACAAATTAATACACACGGGCAACGACATCAACACAAATGAAAGTTCCTCACAGGAGCTTCAAATGATCTTCTCTACTCGGTGCTGCAGCAACCGATCCCAAACGTTTTGTTATTTTTCTGGACACTCCACATCCAGCCTATCCAGCATGAGAATTTTCCTTCATGATCTATAAACCTCCATCTTATCGGATTCTTCTCAAACTTCTGCAAATGTTTATCTTTGTGAGGATGCAGCAGAATCATGACGCTTCTTAAAAGTCTAGAAATGTACAGTCCTAAATTCATTGCTCTTCAGTATGCAGGTATTTAATTGAAAACATTTTGCAACTAATACACAGACAATTTATGTTCTGAAATGTGAGGATCAGATCCCCTTCATTCGGATGTCCTGACTCCTCTGGATCCACTCTAACTTCTAATATCACACATCTGGCTAAAGAGAAAAACTGAACTTGAGGCTACAAAATCAAAAGTTCAAAAATCAACGAGCGGTTACCTCCCCTTCCTCTAAACAGTCTAAGAAATCGAGTTTAGATAAATCTAATACGCGTTCATGTCTGCTGGAACATGAGCAAACATTACTGATCTTTGTTAAACCTGTGCGTCAGAGGAGACGACAATCTGATCTCCACCCACTGAGTGTGTTTGTACACGTGTGTGTGTCTGTGTTTACCTTGATGACCACGCCCATTATAGGCAACGTAAGGATTCGTCCAGGATGGGGCGACGGCCAGCGATCTATGTCATTACAAGCTGTCAATAAAAAAGACAAATATTAGCTGTATGAATCAGAGTTTGTTGGATCAGAGCAGGACGTTAGTAAAGTTTATCTTCACTCCTCCATTGGACTCTTTGCTACATTTCAGTCAGAATGCTCACCAAACGTCCCCGAACCCTCCCGTCCTGTCTCAATGTTTTCATTCTGTTTCAGTGTTCAGTGCTAAGTTAGTCGGTCTTTTTAACCCTGCAATGCAGTTTTTTATTTTATTTGCACTACGCAGCTCAGGGAAATAAGAGATGTTTTGTATTTATATTACAGACAGACAGACACACAGACAGACACACAGACACATACACAGACAGACAGACAGACAGACAGACAGACACACAGACACACAGACACACAGACACACAGACAGACAGACAGACAGGTATAAAGGTGAACAGTGACTTGATGTCAGACTGACCTGCTTCCAAACACGGCTCCTGTTTCTCAAAATATTCTGGAGCCATGATCTTCAGCAGGGAGTGGAAGAATGTGACGTAGGGCAGCTTACTGATCAGGAGCAGAGACTACAGAGAGAATTAGACACAATGATGGAAATAATATTTAAGATTGGCGACCATTATTTTTAATATGACACGGAACTTTGTCACCTGATCTTTCCTGTTCATCCATTTTGACACTTTGAGAAAATATTCTTAACGTTTGATTGTGATTGAACATAAAGCAGTTTGCTCTCAAATAAATCCACTGAGGTTTCCAACATCCATCTTTAGATATCTTGTTTTGTTTCCAGTCGTTACTAAAGAACCCGGAGCGGTGTTCTGCTTCTCTGTGCCTGCTCACTGAAAGCCAACAGATACAGCGAGAGTTCGCACCGCACGGCTCCGCTGCTCACTCCTTGTGTTTGATTTGAGTTTCCAACACACTGCACATCATTTATTTCCCAAACAGGATTTCACCTTTTTTTTGTTTTTTGTGTGGATGACTTTGACATATCGTAGGAGAAAAGTTGTAAAAAGGTGACGCCGCTAGCTCTGTTAGCATGGCTAGGTCTCCCAGGATGCTTTGAGCAGCGAGTCGGACAGTTGCACTACACAACGTGTGGGGTGCGCGTTTTGTTTGACAGATGTCAATCAAGATGTGAGCTGCTACACCCACACAGACCTGAGAAATGACCAAAGCTGCAAAATAAGCTGTTTTTGACGAGGTTTCTTTCATAGTTACTAAGGTTTATTTTGACTCAGATTTTTGTTGATGCTTAATGAAACTTTGAATTACACATACAGATTTGTAATATTTAAAAGTCAGGTGTCCAGGGGCTTTAAGAAATACATTCACATTTGAGAAGCAGGAACCAGGTTTGCATTTTTTACTTGAGAAATCACTTGAATGATTGATGACTGTTTTTTATTTATTTACATGTGCAGGACTTAAACGTGAACAGATGGATTTATGAGTCGTGTCCGATTGATTCGTTGATCAACACTGACCTTCTGGAAGTATCCTCTCTTCAGGGATTTGTCTCGCACCTGCCGGAAGTACACGTAACCGTAGTAATGACCCTGGTCTCTCTGAAAAACAAAAATACATGATTCAGATGTGTGCTGGGGCGGCTGTGGCTCAGTGGTTGAGTTGGGCGGAGGGTGGTTGGGCGGAGGGTGGTTGAGTGGAACCGGAGGGTCAGGGGTTCAGCCTCCAGCTCCTGCAGGAAAGTGTCCTTGGGCAAGACACTTAACCCCAAGTTGCTCCTTCTGCTTTGTCAGTGGTGTATGAATGTGTATGAATGGATCTTTACACAGCAGCCTCTACCATCAGTGTGTGAATGTGTAGGTGTGACCTGTAAAACAGCTTTGAGTCTTCAGAAGACTAGATAAGAAATAAACAAGCTCAAGTCCATTTGCCATTTACTGTGTGTGTGTGTTTGTGTGTGTGTGTGTGTGTTTGTGTGTGTGTGTGTGTGTGTACCTTCAAACAGGGCGGAGCATCACGGTCTGTGTTTTCCAGGAAGCAGCCGAGCGACGTCTTCCGGTTTGAGCCCTGTCGGAAGCGGAAGCAGAACTGGGTGTCGCCAAGACAACCTGGAAACACAACAGAGTGACGGTGGGGTCATCAGGGGAACACTGGGCATTTCCCGCCGGCGTGAATCCGAGCGGCTCTGGCTCTAAGCAGGATTTATATTTTGCTTTGGTTTCTGTGATTTCATTTTGCACCTCTCAGTTTCTCACTAGCTTCCAGGTTTCCTTCAGATTCTTGGACAAACAGGAAGAGGGGACAAAAAGGGGGAAATAGGAAGTGCCTGATGACTGGACCTTAACCTTTACATGACCTCCAAATGTCGTCCTCGGAACACACACACACCCCCACACACCCCCATCACACATCGTGTTGCCTTCAGACCACCCAGCGTGAAACAGGTCGTCAGCGGAAAGCTCCAAAGTCCGGTCATTTTGTTTCTGTGTTTACATGAAAAGTGTGAGAGACAACTTGCCGAGACTTTTTGTGAAACTGAAGAACTTGATTTTGCCTTTAAGTAAAGTAAAGAAGAAATCTGAAAAATAATTAACTACATCATGATGACAGAGACAAACTGGGAAACTAAAGATCTCTCGTTGAGATGTGAGACTGAATTATGGGAAAAAGAGATGCAGCTGCTCTCCCTCTCTCTCTCCCCCTCTCTCTCTCTCTCCCTCTCAGCTCTGTACGTATTGTGTCCTAATCCTGTCATCATCCTGAGGTCGGCAGGTACGTCAGCTCGACCGCAAGCTGACTCACAATCAACAAAACACACACCTGCAGACAAACACACACTTCCACACAGGTGTTGTGAGGTGTGTGTTTCTGTGTAAACCAATCCTTACTCTACTTTTCTCTCCGGTGTAGCATTACACATTAGTTAGAGTGTCTACAAACGCTTGTGTCCGTCCTTTTTCTAGGCTTTTTCTTACGTCCTCAAGTCCACACTTCTTGCAGCTGCAGAGTCCAAAAATTATAAGTATATCAGAGTAGAGTAAACAAGAGTAAAAGGCAGCTTTTGAAACCAGAGCCTAAAGGTTATGTTTCAGAAACGAGACGCAGTAGTAGAATTCCTGGTTGATAACAATACAAATGACTAATTACATGCCAAAAGCCAATCTTTTTTTCTTTAGATTTTAGTTGTTATTTATCACCCTCTTTGAGCTGCACGATCTCTACAGGCTGAGTTACTGCGGGGGCCTCACTTAACACCGTTTAATAACCACATCAGACTTCACCATAAAAGCCAAACTCTGCAGTGAAATGGGCTTTTCAGAGTTCAGACAATAAAAGGATGAAACAGAAACTCACCTGAGTTGGAGTCGGGAAAAGAAAGGTAGCAGATGCTTGTTTTCTGAGGGGGAAAAAAAAGAGGATTTGTTTAATTTAGTTGTCATTCAAATGTCAGAAAGCAAACTTTAAATGATCATAATGCAATGAACCAACGTGAACAATTGCTTTTAATCTTCAAAACTTCAGCCAACTTTTACGATCTTCTTTGAGTTAATGTCATAAATCTTACAAAATGAGCTCTTCTTTTAATGTGACACGAGTCTGACTCACCTCTTTCTCTGACAGTTTGGAGTGATGAGGATAAATCACCTGGAAAACAAATTTACAATTAACACCAGTGCAAATCTAAAAAAAAAAAATTAATGAAGCTTCTTGTGAACAAACATTGAGTGTCTCATCAGTTTTCTTAAAACCTCTGACAGTTTAAGGAACATTTACGATCATCTCTATTTAAACTCTTTCACCGTTTTTTGGTGTATTTCCTGCTCTGGACCGCCTTTCTGGTCGCAGCATTTTGTTGAAGCTGGTTTCTGAATTGGTCAAACATATTTTTTACCATATATTATTTAAAGTCGACCTATTCTGCGGATCCCCGTTTTTTTAAATACTTACATGTGGCGTTACAATGCTGGAGGATAATCAAATTAAACGTGGGCAAAGTTTCAGATCATGAACTAAAAACAGCTTGTTAGGGGCGCTGGTGGCGCAGTGGTTAGTGTGCGCGCCCCATGTATGGAGGCTGTCGTCTCAAGCGGGCGGCCCGGGTTCGCATGTCATTCCCCACTCTCTCTCTCCCTGATTTCCGACTCTATCCACTGTCATATCTCTCCATTAAAAGGCACAAAAAGCCCCAAAAAAAATCTTGTTCTGCAAATCATGCAACAGTTCCCCGAGATTAAAGTTAGCTAACCAGACCTATTTCATTTTTTGAACCAGGCTGAAAATGGCTTTTTTTTTTTTTTTTTTTTTTTAAATGGGTGTGTATGTGACTTCTGGGGTTCCAGGAGTCAGCCTCCAGTGGACACTCGGGTGAACTGCAGGATTTTGCAATTCAGCATTGGCTTCATTTGTCAACACGGGAAATTGTTGCTTGTTTTTTTTTTTTTTTTTTTTTTTTTTTTTTACAGACGTCAATATTAGATAAAACAAAAGGTGTTTTTTGATCTGCAAATCATGCAAAGCTACTCTGTAGGTTTCACAGACTGACAACATGACAGGTGACCATGAGTAGAATCTGGGATCTTTACTATAAAACATTAAAAGACGTGATAATAAATACGAGAAAAATGCCATTGTTGCGTCAGGATCTAAAAAATCTGCAACTGTCACAATAAGATTTTGTGTAAACTCATTTTCTTCAGGGGTTCAGACTCACAACAAAGTCTTTGGCCCCTTAAAAAAAAAACTGTTGACACACATTATTTACTATTCACTGACACGTTCAAGAGGAATGCTAACACCTTCATGTCTGCACAATCCTCGCCCAGCCTTTAACTTCCAAAATACTTGCAGCCAAACAAAATCATAATAACAAACTACTAAATCTATTTAAGACGTTCAGGGAGATCCTGCAGACTTTTGTGTGAAGTGAAACAGAAAGTCTTGACTTAATCTGATCCCAGTAAGGGAACTGAAAACCATGTAGGGCACTTTGTGTAAACTTGTCATCAATTCATTAGTCCAACTCCTGTGGGAACAACAGGTGTTTTTTTCTGCTTGCAGGTGAGACTCCAGTGAGATTCAAACCCTCTATGTGAGAAATGCAACGCTTAACATAGTAATAAAACAAAATCCACCTTTTAAGGAAAAGGATTCAGGGAAATGCAGACAATGTAAAGCAGCCTGTGTTGGGACAGGCTAACTCCTGGGAGGACACCTTAACTATCTGTTAAATCACTTGTTATCCTTTATTTTCACATGTTCAGCCTTAGGTTGCAGATGTGTCTGAACATGTCCAATAAGCAACTTAATAAAGGAGCACAGTCACAACTTGATAGAGAGGTTTGAGTGCTTCAGTCCAGGAAATAGCCGGGGCCTTCCATAAACTGCTAACTTAGGCATTTATTTTTTTGCTACAGTGAAGAGGAGTTTACATGACCCCCCCCCACCCCCAAACAGGATGTCTCTGCCTCACCTCCACCGCCTGGCCCAGCTCCAGGTCGAAGCCGACCACACAGATGCAGTGCAGCCAGGTGGAGAAGCGGTCCCAGGGCAGCAGGAGAGCCTCCTCCGGCTCCTCGTCGCCTCCGGGCCCGGGAGGAAGAGTTATCTCCTCGGCCGGGGAGATGCTACTAGCGTCCTGGTCGTCCAGATCCTCCGGCTCTTCGACCTGCTCCCCCAGCTCCTCCGGGCCTTGCAGAGCCATGGCGACGGCCCGACACGCACGCTCTGGAGAGGGGTTTGAGGATATCCGAAGATGTTCACAAGAAATATTAGTTAGTATCCCTCAGGTGACAACAACAGGAGGTGAGCAGCGGGACACAAACTAGCCATCTAGCTAACACCGCACAGCAGCAGCAGCAGCAGCCAGAGCGTACGTGGTGACGATTACTGCAACGTCATCGCGTAAGGACGTCCCTGCCACTGTTGTATTCAAGTCATGTTAGGGCATTGTAAAAAACAACTCTGATGTCAAATAAAGTGCCCCGACAAGTGTCTTTGAAAATGCTGCACAAGTGCGCCCCAGTTAATTCACTTCCTGTTAAATAAAGGCTGACCTCTGACCTTCTTTTTATCACATTGCAGATGAAACGACAACTCACGTCACCTCACTGTTATGGCACGGGGAAAGCACACAGTGACACACAGGGGACTTCAGCTTCTTTCTCTTTTCAGCTGCACAGCTGTCTTAAAGACGCAGCCTCCAGTTGGACATTTACATTTTTACCTTGACAAATTATATACTGGCAAAATTTCACCCAAAAGTTTGCACAGACAAAAATTGCACTACATCCTTTCAGACACTGCTGCACATGTCTAATCTTAACTGTGTTTGAAATTGTAGACAGGTCTCTATTTTTATTCCTGCACAGGTTATTTACATGTTCTTGGTATAGCTCTAATTTTTAATTGTACAGTTTCTTTTTTTTTTTTTTAGGTTTATTATGCCTTTATTTTGAGATAGAAAAGTGGAACTCAAAAAAAAAGTCAGAACTCAAGAGAGTGGGGAGTGATGGATTTGAACCTGGGCCACATGTGTGCACTAACCCCTAGGCTACCGGTACCCCTACTGACTCTATAGAGGTTTCTTTAAATCTTTGTTCAGAATCAGAATCAGAATCAGAATCAGGGTTTATTGCCAAGTACATTTACACATACAAGGAATTTGACTTGGTGTATTGGTGCTAAACGGGTTTGGGTGGACATTGAGTGTAGTTAGAGGTAACAAATGTCTATCTATCTATCTATCCATCTATCTATCCATCTATCTATCTATCTATCTATCTATCTATCTATCTGTCTAACCTTGGTCTTATTTAAACACACTTATGCTACTCGCTGCACCTGTTCTGCACTCTTCTTCTTCTGAGTGTTTCTCACATTTCGAATAAATGACTTTGTAAATTAGCCGCATTCTGAGCCTGAGTCAGGAAGAGGCAATAAATGTGCTTTAAATAAAATCCTCCCACTGCTCGGTCGCTTGGATCAAACAGATGGATGAAACAGAGTGGGGGGGCTCACAGAGTGGGGGTGGGGGGTGGGTTAGGGCTGAAATGTGACACAAATCCACCTTGATAAAGGTGAGTAGATACAAGAAGAGAACAAAGCCACCATTGTCTGATACAAACAAACCAATTAGACTTATAAAACACATCGAGAAAAGATGAAAGATGCAGTGAAAAAGGTCAAATTTAATAAATATAATAATAAACTAAACTAGATTCTTTGAGCATCTTAATCTTTATCATTTGTTATTCTCTATTTTACATGAGATTGTAATTTTCTTTTTTTCAGTTCGGGACAGTTTAAACTCCTAAGACTCTTTGTGTTTGATTTGATGATATACAACAAACAATTTCATGATTAGTTCAATTTAATGATTCATGATAACTTTTAAAGAGAACAAAATCCTCATCGCTGATCTATTACTTTTAACGTTTGCAAATGAAGGAAAGATCTTCACATAGAGCTTAATAAAATAATGAAAGTATTAATAGCAAACAGCACATTAACTCTTTTTAAACCAGTACTCTTGTACTATTTGAGTTTCTATCTGAGTGTTGTGTTTGTTTGTGACACACAGTCTCTGTATGACAGCACGCTGTGATGTCAAACTAAGAAGCTGAACTCAGTAAGATGCTGTTAAATCTTAAATAATAGTCCGACTGTTTGCGCTGTGACAGCTGGTCCCCTGCTCGCTCGGCTCTGCAGGGGGGCTGCATGGACACGACTGCAGGGACCTGCTGAGACCATGGAGGATCTCTAACCAAGACCAGGACCAGGGCCACGTTACAGTAAACCTGCATAGCACGATCCTGACACAAAAGAATCCACAAACAATCTGCGGTTGTTTATGTTTGATGGGGTTTTCTTACACCTCGTGTTGATCTGTATTTTGTGAGTAACATTGTGAGTAAAACAGCTATGATCAATTTAAAACACTGAAGCCAAAATTAACTTTGCATCAGACACAATCGAAATGTGATTCTGAAAGGGAGTTCAAGATCAAGTCGAACACCAAAATGTGGAAAATTATCGTCTATGTGCAGATGAGTGCCATCTTTACAAGTGATTACCATGTGGCCGGATGTGGATTTGAGTTTCCTACTGGTACCAAAGAACATTATATATGACTTTGTTTTATTGAGAAGTAATTTACTGGATAAAAGCCAATCTTTTAAAATGATGAAGTCGGACCTGAGAGAGGTTTGTATCTGTGACATATCAGGAATGGATGTATATAAGACGGTATCATCTGCATAGAGTTGAAGGTTATTGGAGATTATTGGTAAATAGTTCCTTTTTTTTGCACCAAAACCAATAAGACAAATTCTTTGCTTGTGGAAAACAACATGACCGTAAATCAGATTCAGATGTTTTGTCTTGTGTGTGTTTGCTGCTCAGTCCTTGCCTCGTCCTTCACTCTGGTATATTTGGAACAGACTGATAATCAGGCTGATCCTGAAGTGATCCCTACATCAATCCTCAAACCTCTCACACCTGCCAACACCCATGAATCTTTTTTCAAGTAACTAATCCCATTCATAAACATTCACACACCGCCGCTGAAGCAGCAGGAGCAACCTGTCTTGCTGAGGACACATTGGACATGTAGGAGCTGGGGATCGAACCCGTTAGATCCCAACCTTCCGGTTAGGAGGCCCCTGTGGCAGCGGTCATAGGTTCAAATCTGACCCCTGGCCCCTTGCTGCATGTCGTCACCCACTCTCTCTTCCCAGCATTTCCTGTCTCTGTCATTTTCAGTAAAAAGCAAAAATGTCCCATACCATTATCTTTAAAAAAAGAACATTGTCTTAATTGCTTATTCGAGTTTTTAAAGATATATACAAATATATATAAAGTTATGTTTTATATTGTTGTTTTAACCATCAATAGTATCAAAAAGTACCAGTTTGTTTTTCATGCACTTTAAAGTTGATTTGATTCTTATTTTGACACAGAATGCTGAAGCAGAAGGGACACAGACTTTATGAGCTTTGCTTCAGGACTCACTTTATATGGCTATAAAAAAAAAGGTAGAGGACATGTTTTTCAGGAAAGTAACTTGACACATTCACTATGAATTATAAATGTGATTTATTAAATGCTGACTGAAGTAAACCCAAATGAGCAGCAGTGATACATTGTGTTATCTCCCCTGTTCTTCTGTCTCATCCAGCATTGATTTGGTCTCAGCTGTCGGCTCAACACAACACAGCAGGGACTTTTCTGGAGGCTCAAGCAGAATTTGATCTCCTCCTGACCAGTCTCCACCCCGTCCTGCTGTCCAGGTCTGTAAATCAAACCACATATGATGTAACTATGTTTTTTATGTGATCAAAACCGTACATGCAAATTACATTATTATTATGTAGTTAAGGCTATCTAAAAGTTGTTGGTCTTAAACAGGTTTAGGAAATTGGATAAAAATACAAAGTGATAGTCTCGTGATATAAAATCTACCTAAGTCCTTAAGGTACATATATTCATATTGGACCACAGTTTGGTTATTTTCTTGTTATCACAGGACTACAATGCTGGATAACAAATTAATTTGGGCCTTCTTCTCCAGATCTCGATAAAATAAACTTGCTATGATATTGTTAAGATTTAATTTGAAAACGTATTTGTGACATTAAACTAGTATGCAGGTGTTGGCTAGCAATATTTTGATAATTAAAAACATGTAAATAACTCAATTTTTGGTGTCTGCTTGGAAGATCAAATTTAGGCACCTTGGTATCAAATCATGTATCAATATCGTTGGATTTGAAACTATAACAGTATCGAAGTTTTACGTTCTGTAGTCATGACTACTTATAATAAATTAAACTTTGTGATACACCCTGAAAACTCTACTACACGTTGAATCAAACTTGTTCTTCTTAGCTTTTTTAAACATATAAATGTTTTTTACAGTCTTTTTCAGTGAGCTTTATCTGCATGAATGTGATAATATTTCCAAAGCATAATAACAAGGAATACAATAATAATACTAATGATTATAAATACATGTTTACCTTTTTATCAATTCTACCAATACTATAATACCAATTTTATACACATTCATACCAAGTTTATACACTTTTTAAATACCAATTTCAATACCAATTTTATGCAATATTTTTATACCAAATGTATAACCAATATTACCAATATTTTCATATCAATCTCATTTCAAATTGATCTTATTTCGTACAATATATTGATACAAATTTTATACAATATTTTGATGCCACATTCAATAACAATATTACCAATACTTTGTATTAAAAAAAAACTAATATATTTTAATTATTTTCTTCTACATTCTTATCAGAGTGTTTTTGTTTTGCTTTTTTTGTTTTTATGTGTATATGTGACTGTGTGTACATATGCATATATGTTTAAAAAAAAAAAAAAGGAAAAAGGTAAATTGTATTTCTGTGATTGGAAGTATCGTTTTGTATTTTTTTTTTCAATAAAAATATTTTGGAAAAAAAAAACTAATGTATTACTAATTTTACCGATATTTAATAACACCAATTTAATTTTTTATGCCAACTTTAATACCAATATCACCAATACTTTTTTCAGTATTTTTATTATTATACAAATTTTACCTTACCTAACCACAGTTATGACTTACACAAATATATATATATGTAAAAAAAACAAAAAAACAATATAGTAATTTTAGCCTAGAAGAAAGTTATCACCTTTTTCAGAGTACTTGGCTTTCCTGAGTTCGGCGGTAAGTGTTAGAGCCGATGTGACTCGGTCAGTGAACGCACCACGCCTAGTCTGCTGCTCTCTAGTTACAGTATGGCGGCCGGGACTTGCGGAGGAGGACAACTTCTTCTGGATTCCTTCCACAAAACTGTGGGGAGGCGACGGCTATAACTCTTAAACC